AAATTTCAATCCATGCCACACAGAAATAAAGTGAAGTCACTAAGATGGCCATACACGGTTATTTTTTTTTTCCATTCAGCCCATGGAATGAGGTGGATGGAAGAATCCCCCCACTCCCCACCCTGCAGGAACATCACATTCTGACAACGGCATGCACAGCTGTCAGAATACACTGATCAGTGGCTGCAGCTGATTGGCTGCAGCCACTGATCGAGTAAAAATTTCAAACATAACCTTTCAACAGAAGTCATTCAAAACCAGGGGCGGACTGACAACTCATGGGGCCCCCGGGCAATAGGGGATCATGGGGCCCCTGTGTCCTTGCCCAAACTCAAAAAAGCCTATGAAAAAGGTACCAGGGGCATCTTATGGGGCCCCCTACTGACCCTGGGCCCTCGGGCAGTGCCCGAGTTTCCAAATGGTCAGTCCGGCCCTGTTCAAAACGATCAACTTCTGTAAAGTGGGGACATTTGATTGAAATTCAACTGTTCCCTGCTCAGCTGGGTACCCTGGCAATCCTGGGACACATGCTACTTATGCCATCCTCATTTGGTTTAACACAGGGGCTTGAGTATAAGGAAAAGGAAAATAGGATTTAGGCATTTGGTCATATGATCTCTCATGAAAGGAAGAATCAGAGTTTAGACTGGCTGACCCTCCTATTCAGCAGTGACCCCATGACCAAATGTCTAGCATTTTCCCACAGGACTAGTCCATGCATGCTTTTACTGCAGCAAGGTATAAGGGTCTCCTTTGCATTTTAGAACATTTAGGGCTCATTCACACTAGCAAGCCATGCTGATTGCACAGATACTTGTGTACGCTGGGAGTAAACAGTGGCAATGCACCAATCCCAATTTACACAGCAGCATTGCGATACAGTATTTTGCATTGCAACCTGTTGTGCTGACAAAACAAACTACCCTCATAGAGAACATGGTTTTTGCAATGCTGATGGGTGTAGATGGATTGTTGCTTAAGTTTTATGTTATGTACAGCAGCAGGGCTGGGACAAGGGGGGCAGGAGGGGCACCTGTCCTGGGAGCAGCGTCAAGTTGTGGGTGGGGTCATCTTCGCCCTGCATGTGGAGGTACCTTCAGGGCCAGTGCTAGACTATTTAGCGCCCTAGGCAAAACGAAAATATTAAATCAACAAACCATGAAATTGCCATTAGCACCAATATTAAAGACAAAATTAGTGTCACGGATGGACTGTATCTGTGGCTGGTAGTGGCAGGGTGAGTACACACTCTGACAGATCCTGGGCTGGACTTCCCCAGGCAATGGGGGGAGATAAAACGCTGTGACAGCAGACAGCCCAGCCCACACTCACAGATAAAACATCTGAATTGAGTGATCCCACACAGTGACAGATCCAACACAACACACCACAACCAACACTAACACAGATCAGCAGGCACTAGAAGAGCAGGCTGTTGGATCGTTATGATGTCATCACTCACTGACACATTGCACATGTGATGGATGGCCGGCCGACTGGTTCACATTCACATAGACATGAGACATCAGAGTCAGACATTACCTTCCTCCACAGGCACAACTCCACCTCCGCTGATGAATGGGAAGAGGAGGCCTGGAACTCCACAGTGATCAGCAGCCACCAGACGGCTTGCAATAAGGGACTGAGTCTGAGAGGAACACTGGCCCCAGACACCTCTGTCCTTTCTTCCTCCCCTCTGCCACCCCTACCCTCAGCTGGAGGATCATTCATGACGTGGTGGCATCCCATACAGAGAAAGTGCTGGGCTGTGCTGCACCCAGGCACCCCTAGGTGGCAGTGAGCCCTAGGTGGCTGCCTAGTTTGCCTAGTGGAAGCATCGGCCCTGGGTACCTTTTTGTGTGGAGCATGTTCATCATTACCCATCACTCCCAGTAACAGGATGGGGTCCTGCCTAGCCCATAGCCAACAGGGAGGAGAACTGTATTGTTTTCATACAGTTCTCCTCCCCATCGGAGATCCTAGGCAATCACTGAGCGCCAGCGAGTAACCACCGAGTAATCACAGGTCAGGACCCGGAAATGCTGCCCTGTAGCAGTATTTCTGCTATAGGATGGTCGAGAAGCGGTTAATCACATGAAGCTGAACCTTAAAATTAGGTCAAACTAAAAGAAAACAATTACATTCTGAAGCTCTGTTATGCATGTTTTGTCATTCAAAAGCCCTGTAATGCATGTTTTATATGTACCCACAAGAAAACAAAAAAGTGTACCAGATCTTATTATATAATGTTACTGATCACATTCAAAACAAGTTGTTCTTGGTGTTCATGGAGAATCACGTCCCTTGACAAAACACAGATGACTTCCTGTAATTTCAGACATATAATTATGTAGAGCAGCAGCATGCCAGTCTCTGCGCTCACTGCTCTGCATACTGAACTGCTGTAATTCTGCTCTGTCATATCCCAGAGGACAGCGCTGGTCTTCCTTTCCACAATTCCAGTATTTGGGATGACTCACGGACCTGAAAGCTCTATGCTGAGGTTTCTTAACTGTAACCTAGTACGTTAGCTAGCAAAGTCTGTGTATTTGTGTTACCAGTCAAACCCCACATAGAGTATTTATTATGGCAGGAAAACAGTCTAAGCACAATAAGAGGATCCTAAACGACTGTGTAGGAATTAAATACCATGTTTACATTAGTCAAAACATGAGTCATCCTCCATGAGCCCTTCACAGCAAGTGACATGAGTAAGATTTGTTTTGCACCACACTATACAGCTCCTGCTTGGTTATATTGACCTTTATAATTATATACAGTGGGTATAGAAAAGAGTCACCCCCTTTAAAATAATCACATTTTGTTGCATTGCAGCCTGAGATGAAGACAAACACAGTTTTTGTTTTATCCAGCTGTGTAACTTATAACATCCACGTGAAAGATATAACACTAACATGCCAGAAAAAAAATAAAATAAAAAACAGAAACACTGAGTGGGGAAAAGGATCACCCCCCTCTGAAAAATTTACTTGTAAACTCAATCAGGTGTAGCTTACCACTTTCTCAATGGCACACAAAGCCATTTGACTTTCAACTGTATTCAGCTGTGGTCATTTTGATTAGCTCAGCATGAAAAGAGCTTTCCTGGAGCATTTCAATCCCTGGTAGTGCAACAATCAACTATGGGTGGCAAGGCACGGTCAAAAGATCCCCGGGATAAAGTTGTGGACAGGCACAAGTCAGGAGACAAATACAAAAAAATGTCAAAGGCTTTATCAATACCTAGAAGCAGAGTGAAGTCTATGGTATCAATTCCTTCATCCTCCAGGAACTGCCTGCATACCCTCGCCACGAGGACAGGCATTGTCACGCACCAGGAGGAACCCAGGACCCACTGCACCAGCGTGGATCTGACAATGGGTCCAGGGATTTCATCCTGATACCTAATGGCAGTCAAGGTGCCATTGTCTAGCCTGTAGAGGTCTGTGCGCCCCTCCATGGATATGCCTTCCCAACCATCACTGATCCACAACCAAAACGGTCATGCTGAATGATGTTACAGGCAGCATAACATTCTCCATGGCTTCTCCAGACCCTTTCACGTCTGTCACATGTGCTCAGGGTGAACCTGATGTCATCTGTGAAAAGCACAGGGCGCCAGTGATGGACCTGCCAATTCTGATGTTCAATGGCAAATGCCAATCGAGCTCCATGGTGCCAGGTAGTGAGCACACGGCCCACTAGAGGATTCGGGCCCCCAGGCCACCCTCATGATGTCTGTTTCTGATTAGTCAGAGACATTCACACCAGTGGCCTGCAGGAGGTCATTTTGTAGGGCTCTGGCAGTGCTCATCCTGTTCCTCCTTGCACAAAGGAACAGATACCAGTCATGCTGATGGGTTAAGGACCTTTTACGGCCCCGTCCAGCTCTCCTAGAGTAACTGCCTGACTCCTGGAATCTCCTCCGTGCTCTTGAGACTGTGCTGGGAGACACAGCAAACCTTCTGGCAATGGCACGTATTGTTGTGCCATCCTGGAGGAATTAGACTGTCTGTACAACCTTTGTAGGGTCCAGGTATTGCCTCATGCCACCAGTAGTGAAACTGACCCTAGCCAAATGCAAAACTAGTGAAAAACAGTCAGAAAAGTTGAGTAGGGAAAAAAATGTCAGTGGCCTCCACCTGTAAAACCATTCCTGTTTTGAGGGTTGTCTCATTGTTGCCCATCTAGTGCACCTGTTGTTAATTTCATTAACACCAAAGTAGCTGAAACTGATTAACAACCCCTCTTCTACTTAACTGACTAGGTCAATATCGTAGGAGTTTAATTAACTTGATGCTATACTCTGATTAAAAAGTGTTCCTTTCATTTTTTTTTGAGCAGTGTATATTTTTACTCCTCAGTGCAAAACACAGGAAAGCCTGCTAGGGGTTTGCACCTGAGGAACAAGATTCTCTGGTTCGATGAAACCAAGATTGAACTGTTTGGTATCAATTCTAATTCATCACCTGCCCAATACCATCCCAACAGTGAAGCATGGTGGTGGCAGCATCATTCTGTGGGGGTGTTTTTCAGAAGCAGGGTCTGGGAGACTGAGCAGGGTTGAGGGAAAGATGAATGGAGCAAAGTTCAATGAAATCCTGTTCCACAGCGCTGAGGACCTCAGACTGGGCCAAATGTTTACCTTCCAACATGACAATGATCCTAAGCACACAGCAAAGAGAACACAAGAGTGGCTTAGGGAAAACTCTGTGAATGTCCTAGATTAACCCAGCCAGAGCCCTGACTGGAACCCTATTGAACATCTCTGTAGAGACCTGAAAATGGCTGTCCATTGATGGTCCCCATCTAGGGGCGGACCGACCATTTGGAAACTCGGGCAGTGCCCAAGGGCCCAGGGTCAGTAGGGGGCCCCATGAGATGCCCCTGGTACCTTCTTCATAGGCTTTTTTGAGTTTGGGCAAGGACACAGGGGCCCCATGATCCCCTATTGCCCAGGGGCCCCATGAGTTGTCAGTCCGCCCTTGTCCCCATCCAACCTGACTGAGCTTGAGAGGATTTGCAAAGAAGAATGGCAGAAAATCCCCCAATCTAGGTGTGCAAAGATTGTCGTGTCATACCCAAAAAGACTCAAGGTTGCAATTGCTACCAAAGGTGCTTCAACAAAGTACTGAGTATAGAGTCTGAATACTTAAAACATGTGATACTGTATACTGATCTTTAGTATACCAGTTGGCTTATTCTTTTCTTTCTAAATATAAAAGGGTCATTTTTCCCTGTAGTGGTCTTTCAGATTTATGTAGATATCAGGAGACTAACTCACCTGGCTTCTTATAGCTTTCAGGGAAACTGGAGGTTAGATGCTTGATCTAGTTATAGTTGTGTAACCACCTTAAGGCCTCATTTACACAGGCGTACTTATTTATACATCCGTGCAAAGGACTGTCTTTGCCTGCATGGGATGCAGAGGTGTTCAGGCAGTCCTACTCATGTCAATTGGCACACAGCCGCTGGTCCCATATAGAACTCGGTCATATCAGTGTCCCTGGTGTCCCTAAACACACCTCTGTATGCTGACTGTAGCTGCAGCCATATTTGAAGCCCAAATTATGGGTGTTCCTGTTTGGGGGAGGGTACAGCCAGAACAGGGCCCTGCTCCCTCTGACTGATCTGTCACTATTATGAATGATTGGTCATTCATAATAGTAAAAGATATCTCAGAGTTTCGACCCTGTGTAAAGTATCTGCGTGTGCCTTGTGTGAAGTAAAAACAGCTGTATATATATCACACAAAGCTGCAGGTCTGAGCACTACCGGAACAGGTACATCCAGTGCCTAGGGCACTTCCTACTGCTGAGGCATGCCGTAGAAGTGGTGGACTGGGCGCCCATTCTCTGCCCCTTGCTCCGCCTGCAAATGGTTGGCATTAAGTGTGCAGTGCACACCGATGGCCAGTCACTTGCTTTCAAGCAGCTAGAAGGTAGGTAGTCCAATGTGTTTTTGTGCCAAATGTAGGTAGAATTGGGTGGAGAATAGGCATGTTGAAGCACAGTGTCAGAACATTCTGATGAAGACAGTTGAAATAAGAGGGACTCTATTAGGGACACTGTTGTAAGGGGATACTCTGATGAAGACAGTTGATTTAGCAGGGGACTCTATTAGGGACACTGATGTAAGGGATACTACTCTGATGAAGACAGTTGAAATAAGAGGGACTCTATTAGGGACACTGATGGGGTCACCTGATGTAAGAGGGCACTCTGATGGGAACCCTGACGCAAGGGGGCACTCTGATGGAGATACCTGATGTCAGGGAGCACTATGATGGAAATAACTAATCATATGTAAGGGGAAACTCAGATGAAGACAATTGATGTAAGGGGAGGCTTTATTAGGATCAGTGATGTAAGGGGATACTTTGATGTGGACACCTGATTTAAGGGAGCACTATGATGGGGATAACTAATCATATGTAAGGGGACACTTTGATGAAGACAATTGAAGTACTGGGGGTGACTTTATTAGAATCACAGATGTAAAGGGCAATTTGATGGGGAAACCTGATAGAAGTGGGTACTCTGATGAGAACCCTGATGTAAGGGGCACTCTGATGTGGACCCTGAAGTAAGGGGGCACTCTGATGGGGTCTGATAGAGCAGGGGCGGACTGACAACTCATGGGGCCCCCGGGCAATAGAGGATCATGGGGCCCCTGTGTCCTTGCCCAAACTCAAAAAAGCCTATGAAAAAGGTACCAGGGGCATCTCATGGGGCCCCTACTGACCCCAGGCCCTCGGGCAGTGCCCAAGTTTCCAAATTGTCAGTCCACCCCTGTGATAGAGACATCTGATATAAGGGGGAACAGATTTTGTTTAATTATCCTAATCTAATGAAAACCTAATACATAACAGAGTTTCCCAGGTCATAAGACTTTGTGACAGACTGTCAGTGAATCACACACCGAGCTGACATTATGCCCCCTGACTTTTTTACTGCACCCCCAGATCGGATAGGCTAGATCTGGCCCTGTTGTCAGTCTGGGGAGAGAGGGTAGTGTTAGATGTATTAGCAGATTTATATAACAAATTGGAGCCAAACTCCAGCTCACACTGCAGTTACACAAGCAGTTATAGCAAACATTTTTTCCTAATTTTTACATAAATAAATAAAATAAATTAAAGCCGATCATTGTAAGCACAACAGTGTTAAATGGTCTGTTTCACCCCTGTAACTGCAAGAGAGCTTTTCTGTTGAAAAACAACAGACTTACTGGCTAGATCACCAGATGAAAGAAAGCCTAAAAAAGAAAACTAACACAGCCATCACATCTAAGAATTGGTAACCTGCAATATAATAAATGTTTGCTTTTGGCTTTAATACTGCTTTGAAGAATAGACAAAGATCTAAAGGAACCCTATACTAATAAAAGTATAGATGCAGCCTTTGTTGCTCTTTTGCTGAAAATGCTAGTTGACTGGCTGTGTCTGGCTTCAGTAGACACTGATAAAGTCTGGCTTCTGAGACACTGACCCACAACAAGCATACAGACTGGAAGTCAGAACACCTAATTTGAACATTATCTTTATATCAATGACCTATAAAGTACAAAAGCTGCTAATATTTAAAAAAAGAGGTCATCAATAGTATCCTCATTAGTTACACAGTACAAATGTAATGTACATGACAGTAATACCAATGTCAATAACTGTACTGTTTTCTCCACAAGAGGGTACTCTTTGCATTCTAGTTGTCAACTATCTGGTTGTTATATCTCCACCACTGCAGGGTGATTCTTTCTATAGCCAGAGTCAGCTGCTCAGCATACTAGTCCTTTAATATAATCACAATTTCTTCTTTATTAAGCAGAAACATTTGCTACTTTGCTTAGGGCAATGTATGAATAATATTTTCCTAATAACCATTCTGGTTCTATCACCGAACGGCCATGCAATATTTTCTTGAAGTTATTAACCAGTAACATAATTCTTTAGAGTAAAAAATGACACAGATAATACTACAAATAAAATGCTGCTGTCAGCTTCTGTGTACAGACAACAGCTTCCCCAATGATGGAGAGGGGTCATAAAATATATATTGCCTTTTGGTCCATTCACCTATCTCCACTGTGGTGTGTTATGTGCATTTTTGTGTTGACATTCATTTTCAATGGCGCCCCAAGACACTAACCTAATGCTTGCACTGCAGCACACCACAATTATTATTATTACAGTTACTTATATAGCATCATTAATTTATTCAGTGCTTTACATGTATATATATTGTACATTCACATCAGTCCCTAACCCTCAAGGACTGTACAATCTAAGGTCCCTAACTCATATTCATGCATACTAGGACTAATTTAGACAGGAACCAATTAACCTACCAGCATGTCTTTGGAGTGCAGGAGGAAACTGGAGTCCCCGTTGGAAACCCACACAGGCACAGGGAGCACATGCAAACTCCAGGCAGGTGTTGCCGTGGCTGGGATTCAAACCAACGACCCTATTGCTGCCTGGTGGAAGTGCTAACCATTTAGCCACTGTGCTACTCTACAGTGCACAGTAACCCACTGTGTTCATTAAGTGTTGGAAAAAAATATTATATCTGTTTTTTTTTGTCCATACTGGTGCCTTATTAGCCTATTCATTTGAATCAGCTGCAGTAATGTGATTATGTCAACGAAACATCACAGTATAAATAGGCTCTTAAGCCAGCCATAAATGGATCGAAGTTCGACTTACACATGGGCAGGCTTATTGTTCACAAGTCGAGCCATTGATCGATTTGGGTACAACCAGCCTGTCAGATTTTCCTGCATGCAATTGCTGCCAGCAGCTATAGCACCAATTATGGAGAAGATTCATATAGCTATAGCTGCTAGCACTGATCATTGTGCTCCCTGCGCCCTCTGGCAGAACACTATAGCGCTGCAGGAGGCATTCTCCCAGCAAAACTGACTGTGTTGATGGGGGAATCAACTATTTTCTTTCCTTCCACTCATAGTGAAAAGAAAAGGAAATCGATTAATCTATAACATGATTTGAATACTCAAACACATCAAATAAACATCATCCAATGTGGCTGTCATAGCAGCCATATATCTATGGACACATGGAACCTCCAGCCCCTAGCTAGCCAATTTCAGTGCTGGACATATTGATCATCCAAAATGGACCATAATGTCAACCCCCCCCCCAAAAAAAAAGTAAAGTTAAACCCTGACTATGGAAATCCAAGGCTGAGCATTCATTTCAGTAAGTGTGTGAGTAATATAATTGTTTAATAATCCCAAGATATAAAATCTGACCTATAGAATAAGACATACATTACAGATAAACAAGGACTTTTTGCAGCATTACAAACAAGCTGTAATGAAAGAAATAATGGAGGTTGCCACTGCAGATTTCTGCTTCCAAAATGACTAGTTTCCTGGCTGTCATGCTGATGCTTTCTGAAAACAATCAAATGATATCCCAGCACACTTACCAGCCAGCCTGCAGAACACCCAAATTGCCCTGTCTAACAGTTTACATTAAAAACACAAGGTTTTGTTTGCACACATTTGCAAATACATATTTGGTTGTTTTGCAGGCTGGCTGGTAAGTGTTCTGGGAAATATGTTGGTGGTTTTTTTTTGTTTATGTGCATTGCCCTTCTATGTGCATCCTGCTGCAAAGGCCAGTTATACGTTGGGTTGGTTGCCATTTTTTGTACAGTTGGTTGAATTGGGTGAAGGGATGTACTGGATGCCTTCACTGCCAATGTGCTCTTGCTAGGTGTCATGTGTGTCCTTGTGCCTTTAAGGAGGGGTGGGCTCCCTTCAGGCATACCTGCCCTTAATCTATCCATTGTTATAAGTGCTTCTACTACAGAGGTTCTGGAAATTTTAGAGTTAGGACCGCAGTGTATACAGAGCTCCCTACACATGAGCACTGCAGCTTACTCATATATTTGCAAACGTGTGCAAACAAAATTCTCTGTTTTTAACCCCTTCACGCCAGTGCCTCCCGGCCCTTTAAGAGTTTCAGAAGTCGGGAGGCGGGGCGGGGTTTAGGGTCATGTGACCGCCGTGATGTGCTGTCACGGTGGTCACATGATCGGGAAAGGTCCCGATCGAA